TGTTTTGCCAAAGGAATGTGATTTCTGGCTATAGGGTGTTTAGAGGCTCAAGCAATCGTGTTTCTAGATCAAAGGGGTGTGAGAAAGATGTTCAAACTATTTGTGTAAATTAGCATTGGCTGGTTTCAAGTTCTAAGGTTTTGGACAAGTTTCTTGTTTTTGAAGTAAGAATGTGGAAGTTGTTGTTACAGGCCTGTACAGGCTATCAAATATGCTTGCATACTTACTCTTGGCCCATCTAACTTGTAGGTTTGATTTTCCCTCTGAGATATGGACCAATGCTCAAGGGATAGTGGTTTGACATAAAGTACATTATGGCAAAAATAGAAATGTGCCTTTTCTACTTAGGGCCTAATCTTGTGTGCAATGTCCAAATGACCAAAACAAAAGCTTGGACTGATGGATTTGCATTTAATTATGGAGTGTGGAGTGGTTTAGAGGCCTTCAAACTAGTGTAAGGCATGCTGACTTGAAAATGCAACTTGTATGAACATGAATATGCCATGGATGAAAAGTGAGTTTTTGCCAACTTCAAGCCTTCGATTCTCCCTAACCACAAATGTGTTTGAGGAGTTCTTGGACAATTTGGAAAGCTTTAAAAATTCCCTATAATCCATCTTTGAAATGAAACTTGAGATTACAAGTGGAACTATGTTAAAATGGCCAAGAAGATAGGTCAAAATCCTGCCTAAACTAGGGCAAAATTTCACTAAGTTAAAAGTTTTAGGGACCCTTGTTCCAAAAATCATAACTTGAGATCCAAGCTTCTTTTGAGAAACTTTGTGAATAAAAGTTGTAGAATTTGTGGAGGAATACAACTTTCATGATGGAGGTTTTATTTGAATCCATTTGCATCATGGTGAAAATGTGGGGCAAAGTTAGGAAAAATTAAGAAAATTTCATAACTTAGAAAATTTCAAAGTTATGAAATTTTTCAACTTTAAACCCTAATTTGAAAATTTTGGTTTCTTGATGAACAAGTTTCATATTTTGACATATCTGATGAAATATGACCCTTGGCACTTGATTTTGACCAAAAAAGTTAAAGTTTGACTTTTCAGTGTACAGTCAAATTTTGATTAGTTGACTGCAAAATTCATTTGTCAATCCAATGCAATTGAGATCTTTTGAACTTGTTGAATAAGTCAATATGATGTCCTTGAGTCCTTGAGTCCATGGTTGAACCTAATTTGCCATTGGCTAGGTCAAAAAGTCAGAAATTGCCTTTGTACAGTAAAACCCTAAAAATGACCATTTTGCCCTTTGGTGATCTGATTAAATTTCTTGTGGAGTTGTGGTCCAAGCTTGATCCAATGGTTCATATGAGTTCATAATGTTGATGTGGGTCATAATTCATGAGGTTTGACTGTAAATTGGCCACAATTGACTTTTTCCCCAATACAGTTGATATCTAGGTCAATGTTCAATTGACTAGGCAAAAATTTGATTCAAGGCTTGAAACTTGGTATGAACAAACTCATGAGTACAAAATGAAGTATGAAAGTCAATTTGACCATTGAAGGTCCAAAAATCCCTATGCAAACTCAAACCCTAATTTAGGTCACCAGTGCAAGGAGATGTCTTGAGCAGTGCAAACCCTAGCTTAGTCTTGAGTTCAAAGATCCTTGTGAGGGGAAATGTTGATAAAATGAGAGGGAAAATTTTGGGGTACAACAGTCTCCTAAAGAACATCCCCACATTGGCCCATCACAAATAAAGACCTCCTCTGGTAGATTTATTTCTTCCAGTTAATGACGGGCAACCAAAGACCTCTGTTGGTTCAGTTTAAATCTCTCAATGGTTT